CGTACTGCCTTTAACACTGCGGTCTGGAATATGTTTAGTTTGGTGTGCACATTTGAGAGCACTGTTGAATCGCTGCCTGTCCCAATTCATCGAATGAACCAGGTCCTCCAACGAGTTCCACTTGACGGAACTAAACAAACCATCATGTATTGGGTGTTGTACATCGGCCATGCGTAGTCTTAGGCAACATTTGACCACCTGAGAATTGCTCCCAGGAAATTCATCAAGGACATTGCGTATTAATAGCAACGTATGCCCAAAGAAAAAAGAGATCCAGCGTACTTTCACCTTTGGTAGGTTGGTAGACGTGTTGCTGCCACACATTCATTTGAATACAGGTGCTGTTTTGGAATTTCAAAGCGTAGGTTCACGCGCACCATGTAATCCATGGCAGATTGAAATCACCTCCGATAATCTTATATATAAACCGTAGGCTAGCGGGCGCACTAACATGCAAAGGTCCAAAGTGCTAAGTCCTCTTGGCTGCAGTTTGGCGTGCTGTATGTACATCCTATAAGCGGTTGTTGCTGATTAAAAGATATCGTAATCCATAGTGATTCCTGGACACGGTTCGGAACTGGGTTCTCGAACGCTAATGCTGAGAACTATCTTTTCAGATAAATTACGCAGCCTCCAGTGCGACGATTACGCCAATTTCTTAGAAACTAGTCGTATCCGAAAATGGTAACTGATTGTCCGACATATCATCATGGCACAAATACACATTTGCAAATATAGTAGCAAGTTTTTTTTTACCAAAACAAATGAGCTTATAGCATGCATCTTACAATAAAAAGAATGAATGTCAATCAAATATCTTGAGATAGTTTTGAGATATAAAGAAGATTACTTGGGTTGCATTGTAACCATTGGGGTTTTAAGCCGCGTGTAGGAGTACATTGCTCGGATATCTGTATTTGCAGCGTTCTTCTCAGTAGTCCGAACAAAATCCCTTCACTGTGGGTGAATAACAAAACTAAATCTCAGGATCATGTTTTGGACAACAACTGCCTGCAAACCACCGTGGGTTCTTAAGATTTCAGCATGCGTATACATGCTGTATGTGAAAATATGATCAGTTCCATCCTGATTATGGTTTCACTCTATCATACAAAACCTGCCAGTTCGTTTATGCGCCGGATAAGACTGCTCGCCATGCATTTATTAAAGGTTTGAAGCAATATTTTCATCGCGTTGTCCGGTGCGCTGCCTCTCTATACAGACATGTTTAGCTAAGCTTGAAAATTGTTCGAACCAATGGAGGTTACTACAGTGATGCCCATGCCTATGTTCCTAGATTTCCCAGTGTTCATATTCTCCTGCACTTAGGATGTCCAATTCAAGCCTGGTAGCCATGGTTATGAATTCGCTGCTCTGGAGATCTCTCGAAGTGAACTTTCCAACTAGGTCTCTGAAGATCATAATCTCTTGTACTAACGGAGGTTGGAATCTTCGGGAGAATCTGGTGGAAAACATCGCCCTTTAGGAAGCGGTCTGATAATCATTCCATTCTTCGCCCATTACTCGAACGCAGGACCAAAACACCAGTGCTATGGACTGATCGTTAAGACTGATGGAGCAGTAACACCATCTGGTATACTACATAAATTGCTTTCCTCTTCATATACACCATCCCTGGGACACAATTTCACATCAGCCATCTTTAAGTGCCAGCTGGAAGGACCACTCGAGTATCAAGATGCCTTCACAGGTATTTTTCCTTATCTCAATTTCTAAGATTTGAGTCTTAAAGTCGTAATAACTCGAAGAACAGCACCTGTGTCTTAACATTCGTAAAATGAAGTGACTGGCTTCTCGTCAGAAAATGCATCCTGTCTTATAATGCAACCCACACGAAACTCCCACTTTACCATCCAAAGGGAATTATGAAGTACATACTCGTTCCTCCGTAATAAGGCACGGTTCATTGTTCAAATTTACCTTAAGCTGAGGCAAAATATTCCGTTTTGACCAATCAAGCTATCGGGTATTTTATTTAACCCCACCCCTCCTCAACATCTCTGGCTAATTAGATGATCCTAGCTGTAGTCACCGAATCCACATAGTAACAGGTTCTCGGTTGGCTGAAAGAGTACTTTTGTACGCATGAGAAGCAAACTGGTACTTATTAACACTCGTTAGCAGGTCGACAAGGTCAACTGGTGCCGTTGCGTCTCACCGGCTATCAGTCTCTGGTTCTACTCATAACCGAATCCTACTGACAGCCAAGACCACTTCTTCTTTAGATAAAACCATCAGTACGACGGTTCATTATCTACTACGCACAAGCGCATTTCAGCACATTGATTTAACAGCCTGCTTCGTCTACAGGCCTTCTCGCATAACGGTGGCTCTGACAGACAGCGAACGACCAACTACTTCCGTATGTCTTCCATCAACTTGTTACACCATCTTTTATGAACCGCTTTTGTATGTAGTGAACCATGCCGCTTCGTTTCCTGCTTAGAATAAGGTGATGGGATGCAGCTCCGAGCAAGTGTAAAACAGTTACGAAACATTACTTTCGGGCGGACAACACCCAATTTCCATCTGCTTTGACTACGGTCCCAGTAATCGCGGTGATCAACGTTCACTACAATGTGAATCGCGGTCCACATTAAGATTGCGCGTCGCAATCCAATCACATAATCTGTAGTCCAAACTTGACCCTCCAATTAATTATGTACCTTTGTGCCAAGCGTTGTCCCCAGTGACCAGTAGCCAAAGGGCCAGACGTTTCGGTTACTACTCCAATATTCGCGAGTTCGAGGCCTGCTATTTCCATCTGATGAGATGAAATGACATTGAAACCCGTCGTAGTTGTGCAGTGTTTTCGGGTGGGCAACACCCAGTTTCCATCTGCATTGTAAACATCCCTTCCAAGCGTCACCTGCAAGGTTGAACGCTAATCAGGTGGACAGAAGTTGACTTGGCAGCGGGAAATGAAGTCACTGACAACCAAACTGGGTGCCGTTGGTCCGTCTCGCCTTCCGGGCTGGAGTCCACGTTACTCGCCTTGTGCTTGGCTCGAGACTTTACAGGGCATGGCTCGCAACCGACACCAGTGACACGTCTGCTGCCGTCTCCTAATCGGATTGCCTGTTTAAAGTGTGATTGGTGCTGAGTTATCTGCGGGGCAATGGCTGATTATGACGCGGGGCAGTGAAAGCCGCAAGGAAGCTGTCTCGCCGATGCCGCCTTATCTTTGCACGATAGCCAGCTGTTTGTGACGGTATGTTGTCTACACAAGGTGTAGGCGCCTTGACCCTGAATGTTTGCGTAGGGCATTGAAGTTTTCAGGTAAGTCCCCCTTCTCTTCCTCTTCTTATTCTTTATTTCATAGGTCCTCATGGTTGTATGGCAGCGAAGCATCAGTTCACATGACTGATGTACTGCTGTTGATGATGATGGTGAATCAGCGTGTTATTACCACCAGTGACCCTGACAAGACTGAACCAACCACCTCCTGTCCGACCGAATAATTTCGACCGGGGTGTGACCGGAGTATCAGATCAGCGTGAGCGGATGGACCAACCGAACGAACCAGACAGCCAATGGGAGCCAAGTGTAACGGAGTCGATTGCTGGTCTCGGATGGCCCGACATTGATGTGAGTGCCTCACTGTCTGCTGAACTGAGTCAAAGGAAGAGTCTCATCGATTCAGAAGGGTCTTTAGTTATGAACTTGAGTGTAACTTATATCGAGGAGTTTGGCTTGCCAAACATACGGTAATTTTCGCCGGCTCACCTGTGCTGAATAGTTACCTGTCCCTGAGTTGTGTTCTGCAACGGTGTCAAAGAAGACTAAGACGAACCCCACCGTTCACACTCAGCTGCTGCGTGGATCAACGCCGGCTTTCCGAACGCCTGCCCCGTTGAAAGTGGATGAACGGAACTTGACAAATAAGTTGCGTCTATGTGGGAGCAATTGGTTGGATTTCTGCACCCCAACGCGTTTGGACGAGTAACCGATGGCATAGCACTTGGCCATGCTTCGTAACGCAGCCGCGGATGACGCGCGCCGTGTTCTAGAGACACTGCACTACGACAAAGACAAAGATCCCAATGATTTGGAGATACTCATTGGAAAGTCCAGTGCTTTTTACATGGAAATAACGACCGGATCGTTTTTGCCCATCTCCATTACCAAGTTTGTTTCCTCGTATTTAGTCACACTCACTATTTGCTATTGTTTCTCATCGGTTGTTGTTATTGGTACTGAAGAGACAAGATGACATGCTTGCATCCATCAAATGTCGTTTTCTTGCCGTACTTTTCAAATTAATTGCTTTCATTTTTTGCGTAGGTCAAACCAGTGAGACTTAGTAGCGTTATCTTTTCTTTATACGAAGCAGTGGCCCAAATGAATCCGTCGACGCGTACATCACTGAACTGTCGGTCCTGTAATTTCCGTAAACGCATGGGCGACAGTCTTATACATGGTCGGATTGTTCTAGGAATCAATGATGAAAGTACGACAAACCACTTTTGCGATAATGCAGCTTATCGCTCCAGCCGTGCATTGATATCTGTAACAATGAGTCCCCGACCGCCTAACAATACCAACAAATGGACTTCGCAACTGACGTAGCATTGTGTGCCGTTTCCGGAGGCGAAACAGCAATGGCTACCGATGTGAGAAAATCTGCAACTTTTGCCCCCGCAACACCCAAGAACTCGCGAACAGTGTCCATCGGGGGGAAGGAAATGTGTCAAATGCGGAAAGAAGTACCACTTTGCTCATTGCTGCCACTTAACCAATGTGCGTTTGCTCGTTAGTGACAAGTCACCTGAGACCTCGAGTATTCACTTGGCAACATGTCTCGGAGGGTTTCACAGAAACTTGTCTACGCAAGTCTGTTGATCAAAGGCAAAGCCGTGTGATTTCAGTTAAACACGGGTGCTACCGTCAACGTTCTACCAAGGAAGCATTTTCCTGGAGTGTGCATCCCATCCGAACAAGATTGCCTGCGCATGTGAAATGGTTCTAGACTTCGTCCGATGAGCTCAGCTACAATTGAAGTGGTTAACTCAAGAGACGGAGCCTCACATCTACTGGAGTTTGTGATCGTGGAGGACGAGCTCACGCTGATTCTCTGCATTAATTCGATCCAGTCTCTCGGGTTGGTTGTTTTTAATCATGGTCGCTTGGTGCAGGTTCGCCAGCGAGAAACCGATATTAGTGATCAGTACCCGTCTGTGTTTAGCCTGAGTTTGGAAAAGTTTGAGCGAACCGCTCACTTGTTAGATCCTTTGATACAACCGACTGCGCTACCGGCTAGGAGAGTTCCGTTTGCACTGCGTGACAGGTTCTCCGCTGAATTGAGCAAATTAGTGAGAGAGGGTGTGATTGCCATAGTCGACGGGCTAACCGAATAGGTTACTCAAGTCGCAATCATTGCGAAGAAGACTGGCGAACTGTGCGTGTGTGTGGAGCCAAAACCGTTGAATGAGGCCCTGCGTAGATAGCATTATGCGCTAACTACCCTGGGAGACACTTTGCCGTGCCTGACCAAAGCTAAGCGAAGGTAGACATCGCTTCGGCATTCTGGCACATGGTTCTAGCTAAAGAATCCAGTTTCCTTGCTACCTTTGCCATACCGTTTGGGTATTATCGTTGGCTTTCATTTACCGTTTGATTTGAGGGTGTCCAGTGAAATTTTCCAAAAGCCATCGCTGCAAGCAGCAGACGATTTTGATGGTGTAACTTGTGTGGCAGACGATGTTTGGTTCTATGGCCCAACGGAAGAAGAACATGACACTAATCTCCACCTTTTATTACAGTGTAGTGTGCAAATGAACACCAAGTTTAAACGTGAGAAAAATTGAACTTCTTAAAGCCGAGGTGATTTTCCATGGGCATTTGCCAACAACCCAAGGGGTCAGGATCGATTCAGGAAAAATTAAGGCCATTCGAGAGATGCCACCACCTAACGACGTGAAGCGAATTCATCGCTTAAACGATATGGTGAATTACATGAGCCGTTTTATGCCAAGACTCGCTGATATAATGACGCCGAATAGGAAGTTAACTCATAAAGGAGTAAAGTGAAGTAAAAGAACAGGAAACTGCATTCGAAACTATTAGACACCTCAATAGCAACGCACCTGTACACGGGTATTACGATCCAGCGCATCCTTTGAGATAAAGTGCGACAGTAGCCAGGACGAAATAGGCGCTGTTCTCCTACAGAATGGAAAAGCTTTGGATTTCTTCACTCGAGCACTCACCGTGACCGGGTAGCACTATGCGCAGCTTGAGAAAGAGATGCTCGCAGTAGTCTAGGCCATGGAGCTTTTCAGCGATTAAACTTTCGGAAGAAAGACAACGTCGTATACCGACCACAAACGGCTTGTATCAATAGCCAGGAAACCACTGCTCGTCGTTTCTCGTCGCCTTCAGCGTTTGCCTATCCGGCTTCAAAAGTACGACGCCATTCTGTACACGCCAGGTGCACAGATGTTCATCGTGGATACGCTGCCAGGGGCTCATTTGCCGGTATCCGAGCATAATCCGGAAGAGGTCGAGGCAGCAAACCTAGTACAGCATTTTGCAGTGACAGAAGATAGCCTAAAGGAAATATGACGCCTCCCAGAGAAAGGTGCAACGTTTTCAGCTTTGTAAGATGTTATTCTAAATGGGTGGCCAGAGACAAAGAAGCAGCTGCCGAAGGAACTAACACCGTACTTCAATTTTCGGTATAAACACTCTGTCCACGACGGTATTCTGATCCCGTCATCTCGCCAAGGAGAAAAGCTGAAATACGTTCATCACGCCCACCTGGGTGCCAACTATACTATTAACCGAATAACAGAACTGATCTTTTGGCCAGGAATTATACATCAAATAAGAGCTCATGTAGCGAAGTGTGAGGCGTGCCGTTCACACGAAATCCGGCAGACGTGGGAACCAATGATTAGCAGCATGAAAATCCTCATGTGGTATGTCTAATCACCAACATGGACATTGGGTCTCTTCGCAGTCTCAGGAACTTATCGATGCTCGCCGGCATATCCCTGCTGGAAACGAACACAATGAAACACACAAACAGCTCCGGGCAAAACTCCGTGCTAGCCTGAAGACCGCGAATCCCAGTGGTCTCTTCGTGCTTCCGAGATGGAAGTGTCCGCTGTCCTTAGTAACCATCGTAAGTTATTCCGTCTGATACGGGAAACGGACAGCAGGAGACCTGGTGTTAGTGAAATAATTTGTGACGAGAGTGGACAGCCTATCCACAACTTGTCAAAACGATTGGAGCTTTGGGTTGAGCATTTTGAAAAGCAATTTAATCGGCCAGAATTGTTCGATGCTTCGCTGCCCAGTGATCGCCCTGCTCCGTGGGCTGTCCCTTTGGATCTACCCTCTTGCTCAGAAATCAAACGTGAAATCGGACTGCTGAAGTTGAACAAGCCCACGGGACCAGATGATCATCATCCGGTCCTCTTCAAATTCCGAAGCTCTGCTCTTGTTGATGATTTACATAAATTACTAATGAAACTGTGGGAGCAAGAAACTGCTCCGACCGACTGGAGCCGCTCCGTTATTGTTCACCTCCATAAAAGACGCTCGCGTTCGGAATGCTGCAACCATAGAGGAATCAGTCTGATCTCCATCGCCTCGAAATTACTCGCCTCCATAATCCTTCACAGACTGACTGGCGCTCGTGAAAGCCATATTCGTGAGGAGCAAGCCGGGTTTCGTCGGGGTCGTGACGGCATCGACCACATATTCACTTTGCGTCAGTTGTTGGAGCGCTGTCACGCATATTGGCGGCCCACTGCAGTCGTGTTCCTCGACATCAATGATGCTTTAGATTCAGTTGATAGATGTGCCCTTTGGAATTGTCTACTCAGGAAAGGTGTACCTGAAATATGTAAATATTATCCGAGCATTATATGCGCGTAGCACGGGCAGAGTGAGGACTTACGGCAAGCTATCGCCGCACTTCAATATCTCCAGCAGCGTAAGCCAAGGATGCCCGCTGTCACCTTTCCTCTTCAGCTTCGCTATTGACAAAGTCATGGAGGTTGCATTTACAGGACATGACTTGGAAGGTGTGGATCTGCTCCCATGAGAACGACTTTTGTGTTGGAGTATGCTGAGGATATTGCCCTAATCTGTGACAGCTCCCAGACGTGCTAAGCCGCGCTGGACAGGTTAGCACTGGCTGTCAGCCGTTTCGGGCTTTGCTTTGCACCATCGAAGTGCAAAGCTTTCCTCCAAGATTAGCCTGGATCGCCTCCTGCACTGACCCTTGGTAGCGATCAGCTAGAAGTCGTTCAAAAATTCAACTATCTGGGAAGTTGTATCAGCGTCCGTGGGATTGAAGATGAGATCACGAACCGTATAGCAAAAGCTCGAAGCGCCTTGTTTACTGCACAGGAAATGGAAATGACCCGCTCATCACCGTTATTTCACGCACCAGGCTCCGACGGCTGGGCCACGTGTTACGCATGCCAGCCCACCGACTCCCGCGACATGCATTGTTTGCTCGCCGGGGGTGTGGATGGAAAAAGTGGAGGGGTGGCCAAGCGATGATTTGGTCGAGAGGAATGAAGGCCCTCACTTCGAAGCTGGCCTCAGTTGGAGCGTCTCGGCTCCCTGGTTGGGGTCCGAAAGGCGATGAACACGTTTGGCTGGATGCACTTGCTGACATGCCTAGGAGCCGACCTCAGTGGCGTTTGTGCTGTGAGTTTCTTTGTCCCATCCCATCTCTCTTATCTTCCCCTCCAACCACGAGCTCACTATTTAGCCTCAAATAATTTTGCGTAATAATTTTTGATGCACAGTAGCCGGCTGGTAGCTTCTCGGGACGATGCCCATCCGTTGCCGGTAGCTCAGCTGGCTTGCACCAGTTGCACTTTTTTCTCCTGTTTTCTTTTATATATTGTGGCACAGTAGCTGAGGTGTTTCCCACCTTTAGCTAACATGTATAATGATCCTGATGAATTATGGGAACCAATGCTGCTGCATGAGGTCCCTGATCGACCGTGGCAGAAGGTGGCGGTGAATTTATTCAGTGATAACAGGAAAGATTATTTACCCGCGGTGGATTACTATGGTGATTATTTTGTAATCGATTTACTCGCCAGTACGACCACAGAGGCAGTAATCAACAAGCTCAGATGTCAGTTCGCGCGACACGATTTACCGGAGGAGCTGGTCTCCGACAATGGACTCCAGTTTACCAGCGCTGAGTTCCAGGCCTTCTCAACCGAGTGGGAATACGTGCACCAGCAAACCAGCCTAGCGTACAGTCAATCGAATGGAAATTCGGAGTCAGCAGTCAAGCAAGCCAAGGGACTATTATCAAAGGGTAGAGCAACTGTCGAGGACCCGCACCTCATGCTACTGGAAAATCACTACACTTTTCAAGGAATATAGGTCTGAGCCCAGTGCAGCGCCTATTCATCCGAAAGAATAGTACTCTGATGCCGGACACACGTTTGCACCCAGTTTCGTCACAACTTAAGTGATTACCGAACAATCCGAGAAGACGAATTACCACCCAGAAACGGTACTACGACCGCAGTGCATAGGTACTACCTGAGCTAACAGTGGGGAAGTGTGGGTTCAACTAGCACCCGATAGTCAAGAGCGGTGGAAGAATGTTGTGGTGACTGCAACGGACGGTACATGGTCATACAAAATAAACGTTGTAGAAAACACGTTCAAAAGAAATCGAGTGCATTTAAGACGACACCGGAGGTAAAAATGTGGACTGGAAGTGGAGCGCCCGTTGGCGTGGGGCAAGGAGAGCCTGGCCGCTGGTACAGCGAAGACGACGCGGAGTGGCAAGGTGTATGGTGTGCACAGCAAGATGGAAGCACAAGGACACGAAAAATGGGAGTGTGATGGGTGTGTCAGATCAGAGTGAGCGGATGGACCAACCGAACGGGCCAGACAGCTAAAGGGAGGTGGACGTAACGGAACCGATTACTGGACTCGGATGAGTCGAAATTCATATGAGTGCTTCACCGTCTGTTTAAATGAGTCAAAGGAAGAATCTCATCGACTCAGAAGGGTCTTTAGTTATGGACTTGAACATGTAACTTATATCGAGGAGGTTAGCTTGCTAAACATACGGCAATTTTCGCCGACTTGACTTTGCTGAGTAAACGCTCGTCCCTGGAGGACTGAGTTCTGCAACACAGGGCACCGTCCACTTTCCAAAATCCTCCGAAATCCCAAAAGGATGTTGACACCAGTGTTATTTAGAACGTGACTGCTGCCAACAGCACTCGGAAATTTAGGTCTTCACTTACTCTCACTGGATCCAAGATATATAAAGGAGGTGAACCTGCAAGTACACAGCCACGACTGATTGCATGCAAACCAACGATTCAGCCATCTCAACCCAAACGGTCATTAAGAAACC